AGTACATTAAGGTCGTGATGGATGATTTTATTTGTGACAAAGTAGGAAGCATTGAGGATTTTGGATTTTCAAAGTTTAGGAAAATCATGTAATCTAGAAAGTGGTTTTTAAAAAATGCAAATTAAAAAAAATAATATATATATATATGTAATTTTTTTAATTTGCATTTTTTAGAAAATTGAAATATGAAAAATATTATATAAATATATAGGACAACTTATTTTGTTAACGACCCACGATAGGTTTGTGCATATAAAATGAGATATGAGAGAAAAGTTCCTTAATTAAATATTTTGAATGATAACAAATTTTTAGTAACTTAAAGAGTATACATAAAAGTTCCGTATATATATTATAAAAAAATTCTTTAAAAAATCTACTTTTTTCTGGGAAGTTGTCTATTTATTTTAGTTGTTTGGCGATAATAACTTCCAATCGGTAACAATTGAACACAGTTTTTTAATCAAAAAACTAAAAATAGCCAGATGTTGATTAGTGTATCAGTGAACATGTGTAACACCAAATAATTATTAAAAAATGTGACAAATATTTAATTTTTGACAAATGGTGCCACATCAAAAAAAATTAATGTAAAAATAAAAATATTACACTGATGATGGGAAAATTATCCCAAAACGTAAGAGACAACAAGCATAAATAAAAAAAATATGAATATAATTGGAAGTTTTATTGCCTAAAATATGAAAAAATTATAAACGTAAGCTTCCTAATAAAAAAAGAAATATAAGAAGATATAAATATAAATAGATAGATAGAAAGTAAACTGAGTATAAACATCTGAAGAAACATCAGAAATAACAATTCTGAGTTTATAATGAGGACCTCAACAGCCGCTGGAAGCACTGAGATTTAGACAATGAATAAAACTAAACGCACTGATTTCCATTGATGAGCTTAGAAACAGCCGGATAGACTATTCAATGCTATCGATGTGTTTTCAACAACTAGCCCACAATACAGCAATGGAGCACATATTCCCATAATATATCTAAACAATGTTGGCCTTTGCCACATTCATAGTATCGTCATGCAGAATAATCGAAGAAAACATTACCCACACCCATGCTCAATGCAAAGTGAAATTATTACACATCAATCGTAGAAGGTAATAGGAAAATTACTGTTATTTTCACTTAATTTATAGGAATTGTTAGTGGGAAAACGACTTTCACAAAGGCACTCATATACGAAGGGTTTTCAATATTGCCGGATCTCCTCGCTTTCCCACTAGATCGAGTGCCTTACGGGAAAGTTGATTATCCTATTGTTCGGACACCTGTTATTTTTTTTGTCAAAGGCTCTTTATCCAGTTGCTAGGAAATGTTCTGTAAATTGTATTAGATAGCTATCGTTTTACTCTTACCGTTATTGAAAAGTTAGAAGTAATGCCTGATAACTGATGACGCAGTGAAAAAATAGAAATAGTAAAGTATATTATGTAAAATATATATAATATTTTTATAGTTTTTTCTGCTAATTTTTTCTAGTGTAATCACTTAAAATTATATTCAATCTATATAGGACTTTAATAGCCCTTAGGAACTAGGAAGGCTATTGAAAGAATGTCCTTTATGAGATTATTATGTGGCTGAATATTCATTCATTAAGTTTTTAATGAATTCATAACTCATTAAGACCAAGGAATAAAATTAAAAATGATCATAATAATCTCAAAGACAAATTTAAAAATAATTATTAATCATGATTAATATTTGAAAATTAAAATACATGTATACATTTCTAGAAAATATACACAGAGAAAATAAAACATCATATGAAGGAAACAATTTATCAGTTTAAAAACAAAAAAAAAGGCACTTAAAAAATCATTGAGAAAACATGTTTTTTATAGAGAAAATAATTTTGTATTGATATCAAACAAATTTTAAAAAGAATCTTGTAATAGAAATTTTTTATAGATGATAAACAGTCAGGACGCAATCATTTTTAAGGTTTTTATTAGTGCCGACGTTTCAACCCAAGCATGTCATCAGCACGCCCAAATTATTTTTGTGATTTTTTTAAACATATTTATTGAGAGATATTACAATCTGTCACAATTAAGGAAATTTATAATAGTGTCCAACGAGCACATTCACACTCCATTCATAATAAATACAAATAAATAATAAATACAAATAAATAATACAGAAAAATAGTAATACTAAAAGCAAATGTAGATAAACTAAACTAAACAAAAAGAAACTAAGCTCATGAAAATACCCAAACTACCCAAGTACATACATGCTTCTATACAATATCTAAAAAAAATCAATCACTCAAGACCTCCGAGCCAAGGTTTTTACACCACTCGTGGAAGGAAAGACAGGACTCTATGAGATCCCAGCGGTCTTCACTCAGCCTGGTATTAAAGACCAGTAGAGGCTGAGCAGAGGTGCTATAATTTTAAGGTTTGTTTTCCTTTGAAAATGGCTGAAAGTACTTGAACACCTTCAGTGCTCGAAACATACCCTGATGATGACCCACATGCTTGGGTTGAAACGTCGGCACTAATAAAAACCTTAAAAATTAATGAGTCCTAACTATTTATCACCTACGATATACAGAACAATCAATTAACTTCCTTCAATAATATAGAAAAAATTTAGGATATAACTTCAAATGTAAACTATACTACATTATTTCAAAGGTTATTCAAAATTACACTGAGATTTTAAATTAAAAATAATTTATGATATTATGATAAACAAAGATGATGTTTTTATTTATTTTTAAAATTATAAAATAGAAATAAAAATAAAATATATTTTTAGAAAATTCTATTGAGATTTAAATCAAAAGAAACAGGTGTTTTTCTAAAAAAAAAAAAAAATTAAAAATACAATCGACTATGAAATGCTGCTGCCAGTAAAATGTTAGTGTTTTTATTATAATTAGTTTTAATTTATTGTAATAAGAAAAAATAGAAATAAATTAATAACATAGTTTCGATAAACACTATATCATGACGTGTATTAACAATTACATTAATAAGAGGAAATGATTTAAACAAACATAACATTATGAGGAGAGGCTTTAGTATTAAAACAAATAAATGGAAATATGAGCTGTAAGCAAATTAGGCCAAATGGTTTTATTTTTATTATTTTTGTAATTAAACAATGGAAAATTATGGTATCGACAATAATTGTTACGAACTATCATAAGGCTGTGGCTTATTTTTTTAAGGTTTGTTTTTCTTCGAAAATGGGAGAAAACGGCTGACAGTATTGAATCGTTGGAGAACGAGTAAGTAGGAATTAAGTATCAAATATCTTGTTTTATTATTAGCAACAGTATATTAATTTACTCCCGACTTTGTAAATTTAAAATCTTGTATATTCATAAATAAAAACTGCTCATACATTTCATATATACTCTCATATTTATCTCATTTACAAATGCTTAAATAAAGAACAAACAACAGATTTTTATTAAGATTATTTTTAGTTGCATTGCTTAAATGCTGCATTATGTAGAGGTGTATGAAGGGAATATTTTCCTATATAAAAATATAATATGAGGTATAGTTTATAATAATAGATACTTATTTTAAATTTTACATAAAATGTAAACTACTACTTGGAGCATATTCTATGGTTCTATATCAAGTAGTCATGAAGGTTTATGAAGTGAAGTTATGAAGGGTGGCTCCGTTTTAGTAGTATAGGGTCAGAAGCTTGCTCATATACTACAAGAATTTGAATATCAACAAGTGATATGCAAGGAAAGAATAAACTGCAAGAAAGAAGCAATGCCGTTTTTAAACTCATATCTCCAAATAAATATTTATTTTATAAAACCAAATTATTTTATACATCATTGACCAAAAATATTTTCACTTCGTATAAAGAAGTGAGTTACGTTTCAGGAGATTTTACTCACGACGGAAGTAATAAAAAATGAAATAAAAAACCAACCCTTATAAGGGATTCAAACCAAATAGCAAAAATTTGTGGAAAAGGGGCATAGATATATAATTATAAACAACAGGAAATAATATAATAAATAGTTTATATCTAATTCACTTTTATATCCCACTCTATAGCAGTATATTTTGGTTTGTATATTTGTTGTATTAGACTTCCTGTGATTAAATTGTGATATGTGTGATGATTTATATCCTGTACTTTATTTTTACTTTGTGAAACATTTATTTGTTTAATTTTATTGAGGTGATAATGTTTGGAGATGTGGCCAAATATAAAACAATACGTTTTATATTTTAAGTTTGCCTACAAAAAAATGATATAAAAGAGTAAATACAAAAGAAACCTAGAGAAAGAATTACAACAAAAGAACAAATAATTAGAGTGTAAATATATGGAGCAGTATAGATGACTAAACTAATACATAAAAATATATTGAGATTTTAGGCTAAATATGATTTTAGTGTTATTTTTTAGTTAGTGATATTATATTGTTCTTTACATTGACACAGTGGTAGGCAGAGTTTGTCAAATATTAACGTTTTATTTTATGTTGAATGCTTAATGGTGGACCGTTGTATTATTAAGGAAGGAGATGGTCCGGAGTGGCGGTCATAAATAGACTAAATAGTGGCAAATCTATTTTATTAAAAGCCAAAGTTTAGACCCGACTTTGTAGGTCTTCTTCAGGGAGGTGTTTTCAGCAAGAAGTTACACTTTGAACTCAGTGTAACATCTACCATGTCATTACTACCATCGGAAAATGAGTTCATAAGTTTCAGATAAATATGTTTTTTAATTATATGTAGTATTTTGATGAATGTTCTACTATAAGGTTTTATCTTCAAAACGATATAGAGTAGCTACTTGTATCAAAAATAAGCGTTTTAATTATTTAAATCGAATCCGAGAAGTGTCTAAAGTAGATTCTCAGTCCGAAAATAAGATATTGGTCCAAGATTTCTTATATATTTTTCCAGTAGGTTCTAGACAGAATTTAGCATATGTTTAAATATATCATATGTTAAATAATAAAGTCAGATATTGTACCTCCTGGGACCGTGGGACTGAGTGCCACCGCTAATGACAGATAGGACTCCCGGACCATCTCATCCCTTTGTATGCTAATCCAATGAAGATGATTATGAAGCCATCTAATTGATCCGGATCCTATGATATTCAAATAAAATACTTTCACTCGAGGTATCTTATCTCGGCATCTCTTGGAGAGAGGGGGGCTTCCAAACCCATCTCCTCCACCATCTACATAACAACGGGACGTCTCGTGACCGCACGCTGAGCTTCGGTCAGTCGGAGTCATTCGTCTCATCAGTGAAAGTAGTGACGAATTACCCAGTATCCAAATTATGAAGCTGTTCTATTTTGCGAAAAAGAAAATTATAATCATATAAAACCTTGTATATGTTATTCTGGGAATAAAATAAAGAATATTTTTCACGAGACATGTAGTTGGTCCCAAACACGGATGCATATCGGATTTCCAAAAACGGATCCAGAAAGGTGCTGATGAGTGGGAGAGAGAGGGAGGGGGCGCACTTACAAAAAAGGTGAATTCCACACACACACACACACACATATATATATATATATATATATATATATATATATATATATATATATATATATATATATATATATATATATATATATATATGTATGTATGTATGTATTTATATACATAAGTGAACAATTGACATCTATGAACTTAAACAACGACATTTTTGCATATTTTTTTTTACAAAAATTCAATTAAAAATACTTTTCAAAGGATCAGAGCTATCTATCAACTACTTTCAGCTAATATATTCAGATATTTTAGCAATAAAAATTAAATTGTTTGATGAAATTCACTTTTCAATAAAAACAATATAATGGCTGGTTGTTTAGTTAACTTTTTGAAGATACAGTTTTTTCTTGTTAATTTCAAATAAATTAACTGTCTCCTTCTCATTAATAAAGTAATGAGCAATTGAGACATGATTCGATTTTGCAAATTAATATTTAGTACATGATAAGTACGGGTCGCGGTGGTCGATAGAATTAAGGAGCCTGCAAAAACGTTATACTACGAGTTTAAATCCCGTCAGTGGGATTTAAAACAAATAAAACAAGAAGATAACAATTAAAAATAATTTAAAATAAATAAGTGCAGTTCCTAATCGATTGCTTAGACCATTACGGCGCGGGCTCGATTCCCTCTCCATTCGGGCTCGAGGTGTCTTACAACATACCTGCTAGTCCACCAGATTGGGGATTAACTTTTCCCCGAAAAAAAATAAATAAAAATACAGGGTAAAAATGACTGTAAAATGTTGCCAACCATCCTGATGAAGAACGAGTGATTTGTGATCGCGTTCGGTTATTATAAATCACGTGCTTCATGGATATCTACATAAGAGAAGTAAAGCTGTCGTTTAGTACAGCCTCGTAACTGCTAGACGACTAATGGCGAAAGTCAAATAAGTCAAGAGGCGTTGGAAAAAATAATCTGATAAGTATCAATTAAAATATAAATAAATGATAATCCATTACTATTATAATTTATAATAATGCAAATATTATCTATTTTCTAAATCCGATAAAGGAACTGAGTCCACTGGAGAAAGTTAACAGGATCTTCCATTTCATTGAGATTGCATAATGACCTTTAACAATTCTGCTTTCTAGGCAACATTATGGTTTCACTCATTTTACTGATTCATGGTAAAAGCTATTCCTTTGACTATGATATGTTTGGAGAACCATAGAAGTACAGTGGTTTTGTGTTTTGTAGAACAGGCACTTGCTTGGCAAAACCAGAGCAACTTCTTTCAACTATAAATCACAGGGTGGACTTCTCATTGATAATAGCAGATATAGTTCATTTCATCCTGCTGACTATAGTTTCAATTTAAATGTTTTCTACTACCGAGGATAAAGTGGAAAGAATGGTTGAGTCTTGTTTGGCAACGTTGCATTTACAATCTTTGCTTATTAACTAGCATATTTATGTATTACTTTGCATCGATTAGCGTTTATAGCTATAGCCAGTTCAGCCAACGAAGTATATTTCATGGGACATCGATCGTACTAATATCTGGATAATCCCGACGGGATTAATGAACAAAACTCATTAAAATTTTGTGAACGAATAATATAATTTAATTCTTAAATGCATTTATTCTATATGACTTATTATATTTTAATTTAATTCCTTTTTCAGTTGCTAACTATGTTTGTTACTATAATTTATCTATTGCGATGTCCATATATTATTTTACTTTTATCATTGGGTATTTTCTCATTCCTATTAGTCACTATTAATAGTTAATTTAAACATAAATAGTTCTAGGGTGTGGCAGATTTTTTTTTTTATTTCTTTTTGTACTTTGTGTAGTGAATGGATTTTCAACTATAAACTTGTTTTGTTTACGCTATAAATTCGTATCTCGAAAACAGGTATATATTATTAAAAATAAGATAAGCTAAAGACAAAATTTGTACTTATTAGAAAAAAAATCTCTAAAATATTTATCATGTGCATTCTACAGCAAGTTTTACTTAATCTAGGCTTTCAGTGATCCAGATAAAGTTCACCCAGTTTGGATTAAAAATATAGATAGTAAATACATTAAATAACAGAAATAATATTCAATTAAATTGTATGTTCACAAGGAGTATTTATGTAAATAAAATATATATAAAATAAATATATAAAATGTTTTGAGTATTTGTCTATCGGTAGTAAAAAACCTCTCTAACGTCTTAATTGTAATGACAACCATCAATAATTAAAAACATTTTTAAATATGAGAGTATGAAAAAAAGAAATTTTCAAAAAAAAAGTAAATAGTAAGAAATATATGTGTATGTTTTGTACTCGCTATTGACAGTGTCTATAAATCTATCAGTCATATGCCTTGTTGGTAAAAATAGGATAATTGTCAGACATACTATTCAAAGATTGTGGCTATTCAAGATTTAGCTCACATCACTCACAGAAACCATTACGAACCAGTGAAAAAAAAAATTTTTATTTTGGAGGTGGCTTCAACCCAAAAATTCCTCCCTCCCTCCCCTCCGTAAATCTACCGATAAATGGATAAGAATCCAGTTGTTTGTTCCTTTGAATGTTTACTGAACGGTTAATAAAAAAACAAATGCGCACTAGAGCTTATGACCGTTGCCAAACTCACCTGCGGCCAAAGAAAAGCTAAAGAATTCTATGCACTTAACCATTGTACTCATTAACTTAACGGACATTGCTGAGAAAGGCAAAATTAAAAAAGGACTCGTCCGACGAGTGTCCTTGGTTCTGAAGAGATAGAAGACCGGTATTTAAGAGGATCCTCTCCTGAGGGGTGGCAAAGACAATGGGACAGAGAGGCCGGACAGCCTGGGTCAGTCCATCCCCCTCTTCAAGGGGTGCGCCGAGGATAATCCCAGGAGATATATTGCCGGGGGGCTGAAATAACTGTTTAAAACACTAAATGGCTTGGGAACATTTAAACGCTGGCAGGGACTGGTTTCTCTTCGGGAGCGTTAGTAATGTGATGGTAACAAAGTCCATCCGACACGGCTGGCAGAAGAGATTTATAAAACAGGTTCAGTCCGCGGCAAGTGGATGCCATGCGGCTTTGTTAAGGCTGAATTAATAAGTAAGATATGTACCTAAAAAATGGCGGTTAGTAGTGGTGTGGTAGTTAATAAAATGGAGATGAATATAAAATTAAAAAAATATTACACCACCGTGAAATTCAAAGACTGGTGGAGTCAGTTTTAGTACTGAACTTGAGCAAGCGTATTGTTTCCATTCTCTTTTAATAATATCTCCATAGTCCCATAGGATGACATTAGAATATAAAAATATATATGTATAATGCACCACTATTTGTCAAACACTTTACAAATTTGTTAGCCCGAAATAAGCTATTAAAATGAAATATGCTATGGATGTTAAAAAGAATATAAAAGTATTATTTGTATTTTAGGTGAAAACTGAAAGAATATGTAATGTCTGGGAGACACGTCAGTATTTGGTAAAGATAATTTTATTAGACCAATTTATTATAACTTATTTATAAAAACCAAAATTCATTAAATGCATGATTTAATTGAATAGTATTCACAAATATTTTTTTTTCTTTTTCTATACCACACTTATGTTTCACATAAGTTAAGAGAAAGTGGGTATTGAAAAACCTGAGACATAATAATAATCACACTTAAGTGAAATATCCTGTTAGTCTTTATTAATCAGATTCTTTAACCACCTGAGTTGATTAATTTATTAATTCGGTTCCAAATTCAAGGACTCGAACATACCAGCTATAAAATCCCACAAAGATGAGTAATACACCACACCCCACTCTTCAATTCCTAATCATTTTAATTCACTCCTACTTCGCCTTTTCACGAACTATGTTTCTCTTGACCTCAGACCAGCACAGATAGTCAGACGCGGCAGATGCCCGGAGGGCGCCCTCAATGCAAAAAAGGGATGTTGTAAGGTTGCATAAAGATGGTAAGCTATTTTTGCACAATCAGTATAACCTACCAATCCAATAAAATACAGTCCACTGCATAAAAGTAGAATGTTGCCCAATAAAATTTTAATGTTGCCTATTAAGAACTCCTGAGCGTTATTTGCCGAGCCTTAATTACAAATTGGAAAGTTGTCTAACCAACAAGCATATATGTTCTCACCTATTATCAATACCTATTATTAACTCTCTTCCTATTCCCCAGAACGAATTCAAAACGTCGCTAAACTCGAGAATATTAAAATGGGTAACGATTCAACACACTAAGCCCTCTCGACGCTGGATCCATTTTTTTTCTCTTTCTTCCTACCTATTACACTATTATTCTGATGGAATATTAAAAAGGCAGTGGTGCAGAGGCCTTCTGCACACTGATGATCCAGCAAAAATAATGGAAAAATATATTGGAAACAAATGAAATAAATGAAAGGGTAAACAGTACAGTACATATGTGGAGAACATTCTAATGTTAAGACTATAGTGAGGTTAAGCAATGCTAATGCTGGTCGCAATAATTCTACAAATTTCACTGTTGATATTTTTATTATCACTGAATACACACAACCATATACATTTATTAAACGTAATTCTATTAATTTTCAAATTTATTGTTACTTAAATTATTAAATATTAATTTATGCTAGCGTTAGATTAATAAATATCGCGCAAAAACGTTTTGAGGTCTCAGGTTCCTCACCTAGGCACTATACTAAATGTGAGGAACCTGGGACCTCCTTAATCATTAGAGGCCGTTACATCATCATTTAAAAATCATTTATGATCATTA